ACATCAAACACCTTGTGTCCATGCCACGGGGGCACAGCAGCCAAACCCACCGTGTGCCCCCAGCTCTGCTCAGAAAACGCCCCAGAGCTCAGCCAGGCTGTGGGGCAAGGAGAAGTTTCCCAGGGCACGGTGAAAACAACACCTGTGCCACGGAGGCAGAGGGGCACGGCTCTGCCAGGGATCCCACAGGGAGGTGCAGCTCCTGAGAGCACCCAACCACAACACAAGCACCACGGGCAGCACTGCAGCCTCTGCTCCATTTTGCATCCTTACCTCCCCCACTGCCAGAGGATATGTTATCCTTGACACTTCCTTGGCTCCCAGCCTGGCAGGGCTGCTGTGACATGTCAGTGTTTCTTGGCTCTGAGGAAAAACTGTGCAGTGCTCAGAAATACCCCGTTCCTGCCTCGTGAGGGTTAAAGCAAGGCTCCCGTGTTGTGATGAACTGGGTGTACAGGAACAGCGATGTCAATTTGCTGTTCAGCAGCAGGAAAATCATTCCCCCCCTTATTTTCCATCAGGAAAGCAGAAGCCTTTCACACAGAACTTGTTTTTATCAGCACTGATGAAATAAACACTTACAAGCATGCAGGGCAGAGCCAAATCTCGGGGCAGGGTTCCCCAGTGTGTCCTTCACACCCAACACCACCACCAGGACCCACCCACTGTGTGAGACAGAACAGCCACCACCAGAATGGTCTTAACTCTTTATTCCTGTTTTTTTCTTGTTTTTAAAGGACAACACATTCAGACAGCTTTAAATACAACATCCACGTGCAGCCTCCAAAGAAGGCAGCAGTGGGACAGCGTGCGCGCTCCCGTCCATCCCTGCCGGCACCAGCCCAGTCCTGGTGTGGGACAACTCCTGGAAAACAAAATCCACACATTTAACACCTCACCAAGCATTCAAAGGCACAGAAGTGGGTCAGGACACGCTGAGCACTGAACGCAGGCACAGAAGGAGCCCCCAGTTCTCTCCAGAGGCCACAGCTCCCACCCTGCCCTGGAGAGAGAAGGGTGGCAGCCCCCCTGCCCCAGGGAGCTGGGGGGGAAGGCTGGAGCCACACAGGAACAGCAAGAATGTGGATCAGTGCTGCAGGCTGGCCCCAGGCCACCTCATTTCCCCTGCAGCCCTCCCCGACCGCTCCTATAACCCTTTCCTGCCCATTTCCTTCCCAGCAGAGGCGGAGGAAACGGCAGCAGTGGCAGGGCTGAGGTGCCCCCACACGCCCTGCACAGGGCCCAGTGACACAGGGAGATGGGGCCATGGCTGAGAGCAACCCGCCACCCACTGCTGCCCCAGGGATGGGTGCTGGATGTGCCAGGCAGGCCCAGAGGAGAGGCTGAGCCCACGTCCTGTCCCCAGCTGCAGGTACTTCAGGAAAACAGCCCCCATCTGCCCTCCCTGCTGGCACCCACAGCTGCTGCCAGCTCCCTCCCGAGCTGCTGGGCTCCCACCTGTGCCACGCATCCCCCTGGTGTGCGCCCAGGCACCCTCAGAGCACCTCTGAACTCACCTCTGAGCATCTGCTTCACTCATAAACATCCTTCTTATCTGCAATGTAATCTACAATCTCCTGTGGGCGCATCAGCTTCTCTGCATCTCCGTCAGGAATTTCAAATCCTGCAAGAAAGGGCACACACTTAGCGCAAAACCAATGGAAAAGGGAGCAAGGGCGAGGAAGGGATGGCTGGGGACTCAGGGGACACGGCAAAGGCTGCTGTGAGCCAGAGCTGTCACTGCACTGCCCAAAGTGACACTGCTGCCAGACAGGGGACACGGCGGGCACAGCAGGAGCCAGAGACCCCAGACACCGGTGTGTGGCAGGGCTCAGCATCCTCTGCTCCCCTTTCCCCCTTCCCGGCTGGTGGGACAGAATTCCTGCTTCCAGAGGGGCTGAGCTCCAGAGCAAAGGGCCATATTCCTGACTGCTGCAGGTGCTCAGCTCACTGGTGGCTCTGTGGGGTCTGTCCTGCTCCCAGGGCCTGCTCTGTGGGGTTTGCCCTGCTCTGGGAGCTGGCCCTGCTCCCAGGCCTGGCCCTGCGGTGTTAGCCCGGCTCTGTGTGGTCTGTCGTGGCCCCAGGGCTGGCCCTGTTGGTGTTTGCCCTGCTCTGTGGTGTTTGTCGTGCTCCCATGCCCGGCCCTGTGGGGTTTGTCCTGCTCGGTGCGGTCTCTCCTGCTCCCAGGGCTGGCCCTGCGGTGTTTGCCCGGCTCTGTGCGTCTCTCCCTGCCCCACACGGCACAGGCCGGCGGTGCCGCCGCTCGCACGG